TTTTCTTTGCTTAATTTCTTAATAAAATAATAATCAAAATCCATTCTGATTTGTTCTCAATTGACAGTGTTTCATCTTTGGTAAGACTTATTTATTTCCTTAACACATCTTACAGTAAATGCAGATGGAAAGTTAAAACCTGATGAACAACAGCAGGAATTTAACCGCTAGCTTGGATTTGACTGTTAGAAACTGGTTCAACAAAACCTAAAGCCTGCCTCCTGAACTGAACATCATCATCAGGATGACTGAGGGCTGAACAGGTTAAAGCCAGTTTACGCTGAAAGAATGAACCTGTTGCAACACAGAGGTTCACACCACTTCTGTCAGGGGGGCGGATCCTTAGGTGGGTCAGGTATAAGACCAGGACAAACAGGTCCAGTTTGCTCAGACTCCATTTGTGTGAACAGAGCAGGAGAACCGAAGATATGGCTCAGGGTGAGTTTTAACTCCACATTATTTTTGTTTATGTTTGTTCATGAAATATGGATCTTATTGAGGCACATGAAAACCAATCAGCTGTCCTCACTGTACAGAAGGTACAAAATCATTTTTGAAAGAAACTGATTTCATGATCACAAGTTGAATTCTTTTAGAGTTTTGATTTTTATTTTGTGTTTCTTAATCTCTTTCTTTGCTCAGTCTTGTTTCTGTTTTACTTTAGTTCTGGTCTTCTTAGTGCTTCTAGTTATGTTTATTCTTGTTAGATGGTCTTTGTCACTTTAGTTTTATTTTTCTTTAGTCTAGTCGCTGTTTTTATAGCAACGAATTTCGTATCTCCCTCTTCCCTCCATTATTTAAGTAATTTTTGTAAGTTGTTTTTTTTAATTCAGCATTTTTTTTCCTCATTAAATATTTTCATCATCCATGATATGAGCTTATAAAATCAGACACTTGTGAACAGCTCAGAGTAAAGCTACATCAGTCAGTCAGCATTCTTATACCAAGAACATAAACACGAGTCCTGCTCCTTAGCAGCTGCAAGAAACATTTCCAGTGAAGCTAACTTTGGGTTTGCAGCTCAGATTCCTTTGCTGAAAATTCATAAGCATTAAAATAAAATTATGACCATCAGATAAAATCATCAGATATTACCCTACCACAGCAACTTATATTTGTGAAGCAGGTTATTATGAGAAATGATCACATGAACATGGATTATTTTGTTATTTTTAAAATACATTTGTAGTTCTCACTTTTCCTAATTGCAACAGCAGGGAATATTTTGTCCAATTTCTGTGCTTAGCTGTTGCCCCTTTATTTGAGGCCAGGCCCATATAGAATCAGAAGTTTGAAACTGGAAAAAAAGAAATCAATTAAAATTTTTTAAACAGAATTTCTTTATGGCTCCAGAGCAGCTCCAGAATTAAATTGAATATTGTAGGAAACAACTGGTTTTCAAAGCTAAGACAAGTCCTCCTTTAGTTTAACAAGAAAATCTGAGCAGTCTTTGAATTTTTCACATTTTTTAACTTTTCTCTTTATGTTGTTTCTTTTTTTGTCAGAGGTGATTCAGGAGGAGCTGGACCTGGACATGTATGACACAGAAGCAGAAAAACACGAAGCATTAAAAAGTGTGGAGAACTACAGAAGGGTCCGGTGAGTCCAGATGCGTCTTTAACATTAGTCCATGCAGAAAAAACATTATTTAAGAAATAAACACCAAAAATGCAAAGGAATTGAAAACAGAACCAGAAACGTATTTTAGAAATGATCTAAAGCTTACATCAGGTTGGGGAGCTAATAGATCTGGGAGGAAAACTCCGGGATCCCAATTCTATCCAAGCCAGAATGGATGTAGAGATCATTGAGTGTGCAGAGATGGATCTGAGTTTTGTTGTCCCCAAATCTTGACTTAGACTTACATTACTGCAAATATATTGGTTTGTAAAACATTTTACAAACCAGATGTAAAATGTTTTTCCCTAGTAACGTGTTTCCTGCTCTGCTCTTTGTACTCAGCTATATGTAAAAGTGGTAAGAGGTAGATGACAAGTCGTGACTCAGGAGAACTGAAATGTTCATCAGATCACTGTTTTGTCATCATATGACATTTGTATTTACCCTGGTTTATCTGTTATGTTTCTCCAATTGCAGAATTTCTGGCATTGAACTCTCTCAGGTTGATTGTGAAGAGGTGGCCAATGCTCTAAAAGGCGACCCTTCTAATATGATTGAACTGGAAATAAACACACCCATGCCATCTGATGCACTGGAAATTATCTGTGGAGGACTGGGCAGTCCAAACTGTAAATTACAAATCCTCAGGTCAGTTAATCTCAGATGCTGTTTTTGTGCTTTTTCAAGTATAGTCATGGACCGATCATATCAAACCTATTTTAATGATTAAGAGGAGGATGAGCAGCCGAGGTTTGAGACCTGTGCATAAGTAATGTGGTGATATAATGGTAAACAACACAAATCCAATAAGCAGGCCACACAACCCAGCCAGCATATGGGATAAATGGGGCCAACAATATAGGTCCCACAGGGTTTTTGTCTGTACTTTACGGTGGCCGACAG